ATACACACATGCATACAAACATATTGCGTACTTTTTCCAGCTTATATTATATATAAGCTGCTTACTCTGCGCTGATTAGCAATAGTGGCCAAATAGTCGTATGTCCTAAGCCCCTGGACCTCACTCCCAATCCACTGCCGTCTCTCTCCCTCGTCTCTCCTTCATCGCAGTCTGTACATCGTCATGTAACCGCAATGAGACCGCCCACATCTAATTGTTTTAGGCATTGGCTGCAGTTTGATAGCACATAATAGACATGTTATTTATTTATTTATTTTAATACCCCAAACGAACTGATAATGTGCCCTAAATGGGCTGTATCAGTTCACTATGCTGCAGCTCTTTAAGACTTCAGTTCGTGCTATCGATCATGTGAAGCCCGAACTGTTATCGATTTATTATTATTTTTTAAGCAACTAACCAAGTTAACCTGACTTCAGCTATGGACTTTTGTAGAGCTGCGACATTTACCTGCATTTGGATTAGAGGGCATCTGTTAGTCGTGCACTGCCGACGCCAGTGTTTGTATGTCTGTTGACGCCCCGTTTTGTTGCATTGTTTGCATTAAAACCGTTATCTTCTAATTATTTACAACTAGCCGTATTTACGTCGGGCCCCGCCCACTCCGAACACAATGGCCGAGTGTGCGCAAATATTTGAAAATTCGCATTTCAAATTGCAATTGCAAAACGAAAGGGAAGTGAAGCGCGTGCAGAAATTTCTTTCATTTGATAAAATATGAGCTGGAAATTCAATCAATGTCAAATAAATATTTTGACGAGAATGCAGTCAGCATCACGTTACAAATTGATTGAGTTTCAATTTGAACGAGATTATTACTAATAACGGCTTACCGATAGAATCGATTTGCAGCTATCTCTCTATGAGAGGCCTGTGCATATCTCTACAATGCAGACAGCTTTTGCTAGGGTATAGCACATAAATATTATATATATATATATATATATATATATATATATTTATATACATATGTACATATATATATGTATGTATCCCGATTGCAAACATTTGAACGGACAACTCATGTGTAAGGTCGATAAAATTGTAATTATTTAATTGTGCGAGTCGCTCTATGCAGCCAGATGCATTCGCAGTTGCAGCCAAATGAAGTGCAATCGGCAGACATTAGCAAATTTAATAACAAAGTACTTACTCATAAATGCTGATCGATTAACGACTCGTTGGGTTCCAATGAAAAACTGGATACAACACAAAAAACAAATAGGCTAAGGGCAATGCCTGACTGGCAGCTACCCTTTGCACAGGATGTTAGCAATGGAATTCGTGTTACTTGAAGATACCTTAGCTCAGCGAATGAGCTCTCTGTATCTGTGCCTTTCATCACTACGAGAGCCATGAACTATGAGCTTGCAATCGCTCTTTAAATAAGCTCTCTTAAGTATTTAATTTAATTTATCTCTTCACGTATTGCGCTCATTTGCTCTAAGTGCAGTCGGAGCCATATGGAAAGCAATGCTGCGCTCTCTATGCTCTGCCTGTGTCTGGCTGTCTAAGAGTTGTCTAGAAGCAATAATCTTTTAGGTCAATAGATCAATAAATAATAATCGAATTATACTAGGGCTTCGGTATGCATTTTTATCAAATAAAATAAGGAGATTGCCAGGACTTAAGCATAGATTGACGATAGACGAAGCTGCTGCTCGAGCATAAGTGAATTTCTGAGTAAAACGCAGCTGAATGCATAGCAACTTAATGCAATTTAATTATTTATATATGCAATTTTAGCAACTTAACTTTTTTTAGAATCTCCACTCAGCACTGCGAGCAAAAGTAGAAGGAATTAATCAAGGGAATGCCAAAGGATGAAGCGAACAACTGTCGCACAACTGATAAGCGCGTTTGATGTGCTCCATGTGACATATGTTTGAGTCCTTTTTTATACACGTGTGTAAGGGTGTGTGGGTGTGTGGGTGTGTGTGTGGATGCCCCTTTGCCTTATTGTGCAAATGAAAGGAATGTTGTTCCTCTTCTTCCTCTTTTTTTAAGGTTGCCTTGGGTTTGCGTTTTGTTTTATTATATTAAACCTAGCCTCACAAAGGAGCTCATTAATTTGCGCAAAGCACAACACACACCCACACATACACACACACGCATATTTGTTTACTTAACTGTATAGTTTTATGAACAGGCGAGGCAGAAAAGGTTGCATGAGATGCGTTTTATGTTGAGCACTTTGTAAGCCAGCCCTAAATAGATGGCCAGCACTTGTTTAGTATTCTAATTTGTATTATGTTCCATTGTTGGCTGGCTTAGGGAGAGGCCATCCACACAGACAGTTTGTGTTGCGATCTATGGCTTTGATCCGCCGCTGATAAACTGGCCATGTGGCGGCTCTCGGTGATCCCTTGATCCACTGTGCACAGTGCTTAAGTGATTTGCTAATTTTGCTGAAGGACACAAAACGACCAGATTGGCGTGCAAAGATTTTTCATCAAGAGGCACACACACATGCTTCACTTCCGTTTCGTTTCGTTTCGTTCCGTTCCGTTCCGTTCGTGCCACGGCGTGCCGTGCCCTTCGACAAAGGAAAGCATCCATAAATAATTAAACAGTTTTGTGCTGTTTAAGCATATCATAATGCGAGGCGCCTCAAAGAGCAGCCTCATCCATAAAGCAGATGCTTGGGCGCCTTTGCCAAGGCAGCCGCAGCGTGTCCTGCTTGTATCCTGTTTACCCCTACGCACATGTGTGCGTGTGTGTGTGTGTGTACATGTTGCCATTTTCAACAAAAGCCCCCAAAGCTTTTTCTATGCCCCTCCAGCAGCTCTGTCATCCTGGTCCTTTTTGGCACACCCCCGGCCGCGCAGACCGTCGCGCGTCTTTTATTTATGATTATGCATGCCAGCCTCTACCTCAGCCTCAGCCTCGGCTTCAGCCTGTGCCTCCGCCTTCGCCTTAGCCTTCGTTTCGGCTGGGTTGGCTGTATATTGTTGTTGCTGCTGTAGTTGTGCCTGGCGCAGAGCCACAGAAATGATGCCACAAAATAATTTAAAAGTAATCAGGCAACAAATGTTTGCCCTGTTTTAGGCGCAACACATGAGTTGGGCTTTTTGCATATATATTTGAATACATATATCTCAGGCATTGTAAACTTTTGGGTCTCTGTCCCCGCACACATACACACACACACACACAGGCACACACATATGGCACAACATACTAATTGCTATACACAATAAATTTATTAAAGACATTCAGCTGGCAGCATTTGCTGCCTGCCCCCAAATGGCGCTTATCTCGCCAAGGAATTTTTGTAATTAATTATTTGGCTAATTTTCTGAGCCTAGCTCAACTAGAAATTCATTCACTACGAGCACTGGGGCTGCACGCTGCACGCTGCACATGGCAACGTGCAACAAGTGTCTGGCTGCGCACATCGAGCAACTGCAGCCAGCAGCAGCGGCGGCTTGGCTGAGCTGCAGCAAAAATGTGATTTAAGCATAAACAAACTTAGCTTTCTATTAAAGGGGCAGCACACAGCAGCCAAGGCGTGGCACAACAATAAAAAAAGTGAAGTGGAGCAAATAAAAAAGATGTCTGTGTGCGAGGTCGTGTGTGTGTGGGTGTGTGTGTGTGTGGGTTTGTTTAATGGCATTGAAAGAGAAACTTTCTAAGGCAGCCCTGACTTTTTGGGGTCATTGGGGTTAAAATGATTGCATGTCATGTCCAGGCACGTACATGTGTACCCCACTCCCTCTCTCCCTCCCACTCACACTCTCTCTCTCTCTCCCTCTCTCCCTTTCTCTCTGTGTGTGTGAGCTATTCATTATCCAATGCATTAATGTGCGTCCAGAGACGCATTAATATGCAGACTGATTCGTCGCAGACAAAAAACCAGAGCAGCAAAAAAGAACAACAGAAAGAAGCAGAGAGAAAAAAAAGAATTATAATAACATTTTGCTTCGGGCGGATGCAGACGCTGTGGCATTTAAGTGTCTATTTATTTGCGGTCTGACAAATTGAATTAAAACAAGGGCAAGCAGCAACTTTTTTACAACAACAGCAGCAGCGGCAGCTCGCTGTGGCACTTAACATTTGCAAGATTTACACAAGCGCATGGCAATTGGAAATTGCTCTGGCAAATTGAGCAACAACAACAACACAGAGTTAACATGAATGAGCTACTCGAGACAATGGCAAAGCCTGCTGCCTAGCGTGCTCAGGGTGAAGATGGGGGGACGGTTGAGCTTGGTCTAAAGCAGGCATCGAGCAAGGGGAAGGCCAGCAAAAGCAATTAGTTTTACTTTGGAAGCACTCAAATGATTTAAATTTAATTGGGGTCAAGAATATGCACACGCCCACGCACACACTCGCACACACATAATAGTGTGCAAAGACGCCAGAAGCCAGAAGCCAGAGCGACTCGGCCTGCGTAGGCACAGATCCTGTACAGGAAATGACGCGCTGCGTGCTGCTGACATTATCTAATTAGGCAGACGTTGCAAGCTCGGCCTCGCATGATTTATTTCTGCTGGACAGCAACGAGCGAGGGCGGTCCAGGGGTAGGGGCAGAGTATTTGGGCGCGCTGTACGAGCTTAGGGCTCACGGAATGCCCCTAACCATTGAGTAGGAATGCCAATGTCACGCTGGCTGAGAATGCAGCTGGGACACACGCACACACACGCAGAGACAAATTGGACAGCTGAGGCGACGCTGAATCAACTGTTGTTGCACGTTGCAAGCAGCTTGCTGTGCTTTTGTCGCACGGCAACTGCTGCCACCGCCGCTCGACTCGCACCCAGCTGGAAATGTAAACTGCAATCGACATTTAAGCGGCTTTTGATGCCGCATGATGTTGTCAAGGTAATTGAGTGCTACAGATTAGATATTGGGAACAGCAGAGAGGACCAGGACGAGGACACGGCCAGGTGAACAGTCGAGCTTAGTGTAGTTTCAATTTATTTATTTATTTAAAACAGCCACAATATTTTTTGTTAAATTCATGGCGAACTGCGGCTTAGTTCTCCTTTATGCGATTCAGGAACGAGGCGGCGCAGTCGAGCTTGTCCAGATAGGTGATGAAGTCAATTGGAGTAAATATGGAATTCCTCTTTAGCATGATCTCCTTGTTTTGGTAGAAGCAAGCCGGATCGGTAATCCAGCAGCGATGCCGTATCTGTATTTCGTCCTCGTCGATGAGGCCCAAGCCCGCCTTCTGCTGGAATAACATGGCCTTGTGCAAGTGGGGCAGCAGCTCGTCGGATACCCTCGGAGTCAGCTCGTGCAGATGGGCGCCGATAGTCAACAGGAATAGGGGCGGCATTAGCACATATCGCACCGTTTTAAGCACTACGTTTGCGTGGTGCTTGCGCTTATCGTAGTCTGAATATATCCAATACAGCGCCGAGTAGAACACCTCGATCTCCTGCTGAACGGCCAGGCTGTCTGATGTAAGCAGCTTGCATAAGCACTTTACATCCATCTCACGGAACTCGTCCGTGCAGACGAGTGGCAAGAAATATTTGTGGACACAAGTCAGCATTAGCTTGGCGATGCCCCATCTTTTTTGTTTCTTCGCCTCAAAGTAGGTCGCCAAAGCATCCATTTCGCTGTAGATTTGCCGATCGCCGAGGCATCTGAACACCTGGCTCACCAGCCGCGGAATGAACAAATAGTGCGCAGCTTGCAGTAACTCCAGCAGCTTGCCACGCGGGGAATAAAACTCCTCCAGCAGCATCGATTCGTAGGCCAGGTAAAAGCCATCCGGCGTTATCTTAGCCAGCGGCAAGCTGACGATCATGCCCGTGGGCAGGCAATTGGCATACAGCTCGCAGAAGTGTCGCATCACCACGCCATGGCAGCCGAACGCCTGGTTGCCCACCACGAAAATAACATCCGGATTGATCTTGTTGAACAACTGTTCTTTCAACAACTTGTCAAGCGGCGTCTTCTTCGGCAGCGCAAACTCCACCTTCTGGTCCATGTCGACAAACCTGCTCAGGCAATACACATGGTCCACAACCTTTTTCGCAGGCGGCGTGCTCATCATCAAATTGTACATCTTACAAGTAAGATCGTATCACAATTGGCCAAACTAATCAAAGTACTCCCGTTATATCTCACAGAGCTACCCTAGTCCTGGCTGAAATTGGGTATTTCCGAAATGTTTCTCGGTTTGAAGGTCGAATTTTTCCTATTTACTGATGCGAGATGCCGCTAGTCGAAGCTCTCGATTTCGAATGAGCTTCACATCTCGTTGTTAGCTCAAATCTGAACTAAAATTCACAGAGGCTGCTGCGACAACTGAAGTTTAGCGATTTCAATCAGCTAAATTCGATTCGGTGTCCATAAAATTACATTAGGCAGTTGTCGAGTAAATTTGACTGCTTAATGCACATGAATCACATGAAATGCAATTTAATTTGTTAATTGGGTAATTTAGGCAGCAGGAGTTGCAGCAAAATGTGCCACTTGGACGACTTTTGATGGCTTTAAATATTAAGTGAGCTGCCAGAGAAAACATAACGAGTACACTCATAAAACACACACACACACACAGAGAGTGGGAGAGAGAGGCACATACACACATACGCAAATGTGGTAAGCAAATGAAAATGGAGGTAACCGCAACATTTTAGTTGCATTTGCAACGTTCGCCACAAGAGGCAGCACCACAAGGACCAAGGACATTTACCTAAATTAAAGCTAATGAATTGCCTCTTCGCGTTGGCAAGGACTTTCTACCGTGCCTCAACCACGCCATGACCCCTCCCCCCTGCCCCAGCCCTTACAGCACCCACACCCCCGCTTCATCACCCACAATCCCTTCTGCTTTGCTCATTGTTTCCATCTAACTTTCGCCGTGGCATCAGTCGGCGTTGGCCACATTTGCCCCGCTGCCCCCTCCCACCCCCGCCGACTGTGCCACTTGTCCTGCACGAGCGTACAGGAGCAGCCACTTTGCTGTCTGCTTTAATTTGCATTGCACTTGTGTATGTTTACATTTTTTATTTCATTCATTTTCACTCTTGTTTCGCAATGGTCTCCATTCGCCTCCCCTGGGCGCCCTGCCGCTGCTGCGCCTATTTTCCTTTTCTGTATTTTAATGAATAAGTGCACTAAATGGCAACGGACACTGCAAATGACTGAATGAATGCTGAGCCTTAGACGAAAGCTCTGCGCGCATCAACACGCACGCACCTATACACACACACACGGGCGAGCACAAATTAATATGAATAAATATGCCCACATGTGAGTCGTGGGGGGCGGGCTGCCACGCCCCACCAAATAGAGCCTAGGCAAAGTTAGAAAAAACAAGCGATTATCCTTGAAGTTTCTTTAAAAGTGTAAAAGCGAGAAAGACCGAGAGAGAGAGAGATAGAGCGAGTGACTTCAAATTTAATTTGCTAAATATAATTCAAGTTGATCTCGAAAGAAAGCAACAAATACAATTTGAATGAGCTCAAATTCTAATTAGACTTAATTTTAAACATTTTTAGAATAGTAAAAAAAATTATGGACATATAAAATTTATTACACAAAATTTAAAACAGAATCAAATCAAACAACTTATTTGAGAACCTAGTACTGCACATTGATCAAAAAGCCAAAATAAAATATTTAAAAAATTGTTAATAATTCTTTAATTTTTAGTCGAAAAAAATATTTTTTAAAATATATACACAAAATAAATTTAAATTAAATTCAGTGGCGCGAGTTGTTCTATGCACTGTAAATTGTATAGGAGACACACACTAGCTATCATACCATGCTATAGATATCAAGGAAGCATTTTATCTTTTTTGCTGTCTTTCAGGCTCACTGTGCAGCGGGTGGCACAAATAATTGCCTTAAATTAGTTCAGCGCCTGGGCTCAGCGCTCGGCAACAAAGTGACCCTCAGCTAGAGAGCGGAGGCGGAGCCGGAGGACTGGAGAGACTAACGGGAACAGCCTAGTGCCAGTTGCCAGTTGGCAGTAACAGCTTCAGCAACAGCATCAGCATCAGCATCAGCATCTGCAGCAACAGCAAGCGCAGCATCAGTAGCAGTTACAAGTACCTTATGCAGTAATTGCACTACTTGTCTCTGGAAAGCTGCTGCTGCTGCTGCTGCATTCAAGTACAATTCTTATTTCTCTCTTAAATTATATATATTTTATATATAAGTCATTTGCATATACATAGATATATTCATGCAGTCTGCATAAAGAGCACCAGACTTCAATTATGCAGCTGTATTTGGTCTTTGTTTCAGCTGGCTGACTTATTTAATGAGAGACTAACTAGAGAGTCGACTCGGTGGGATCATCGCAGAAGCCCCTAGTGGCTGATTGACAGACTTATCATTCAATCAACTCATTGACTGATTCGACTCACTCTATGCCTGACATATTGACTGATTGATCTTCAGATTGAGTGCCCAATCGGCTATCTGACTGTTAGTCTGTTTGATTGATGGATTAACTGATCAAATTATGATTGATATATTAATAGATAGACTAATTGTCTAATTGACTGAAGGACTGATTGACTGACTGATGGATTTACTGATTGACTGACTGGTACAATGAATGACAGACAGATTGACTGTTTGATGTACAACTAATTGGCTAATTCACTGACTGATCTATTATCTGGTTGATTGACTGATTGACTAAATGAGAGACTAACTGCGTTAGTGACTGACAAGCGGATTGACATATTCAGTTACTGACTGATTAGGTGATTGATGGACTTTTGGACTGACAAACTGATTGATGGCCAATTTAACGGATTGACTGATTGACTAATTTAATAGTTGGCTGATTGAGTGATTGACGAGCTCATGATCGACTTACTGATTGAAAGACTGTTTGACTGACTTACTGACAAGCTGATTGCTTGATTGACTACCTGACTTATTTACTAATTGACTCACTCACATAATGGTAAGCCTTGCTGACTGATTGATGAGCCAATTGCTGCCTGCCTAACTAACTGACCGACCAACTCAGACGAGACACTAAGGTGATCACCGAACTGCTGATTACAACTTGTTCTCAAACATAGTTTGAATGAAATGAGTAGTGCAATGGCGCTAAGCAAAAATGAGGCGTTCAGGTATACTGAGATCTGTTAGCTGGGCGAAAACAAACGAGAGTTGTAATAAAAAATGCAAGAAATAAGAGCAGCGCATAGCTGGCAGTAATGAAATTTGCTTGTCTGAGCAACGACAGCAACGACGGCAGCAGCTGCGAGTGTTTAGCACATTATTCATATACTCATTTCTTGTGCTTCGCAGTAAGCTCTGATTTGGCCACGTTCTCCATGGGCCCACCCGCAGCAGCGGTGCCTTGGCCATTATTTTGCCAGCGGCTACACAATTTCCGGAATATTTATGTGCCAAAGGCAAACAAAAAACTAAAGAAATGATACCCAACTAAAGCAGGCGCAACAGAAAAATTGTAAACATTTATTTACTGTCCATTTCCGCTGGCTTTTGATGCCGCTGCTGCTGTAGCTGCTGCTGCTGTTGCTGCTGCACTTTCTGCATTTCCATTTGTATATCCATTTGTAGTCATTTTTTGCCAGCTTTTTAGCCCGAGTGCTTATTTTTTGTTTCTTATTCTTTTTTGTATTTTAGCTCTAGTTGCCACTTAGGGCTGCACTTTTGAAGGTCAACACGCAGCGGCTGTGGCATGGAATCAATGCCAGCACTGAGTGCAAGTCGAAATAAGAAATAACGCCTCAACTGTGAACTCTGATTAAGTATTAGCTTAGGTAAGTGACTAAGTGAGCTTCTGCAGCTGATCAGCTCGAATGGACTAATATTTTATGGGAATTTCAGACTCGTTTTCTAGTTGGCAACTAAATTGATTTCAATTCAAAATTAAGTTGGTAATTGAAATTAAATAATGACAGACTTACATTAAATTTAATTTTATTGTGAATATTTGCAAGGAAAAAATAAAACATTTTATTTAGCATTGATTGCTTAACATAATTAAATAAAAACAAATTGAATAAAGGCAAAATAATTATTAGCAAACATATTTGTTAATATTTCTTTTATTCTGCTTTTGTTTCATTTTTTTTAACAAATGAAAGTAAAATGTTCATTGAATCAATAAACACAAAAAAAATAAGAAATAATGGCCATAAATTTACATAATCAACTAAATATTTACATATATATATGACTGAAGGGCCTTAGCAATAATCTGAACAATATTTACATTTTGCATATGTAATGCATTTTGCCCTCCAGCCAGATCTGGACCAATGTCTAAAGTCATTTCTAGGCTGAGAGCGTGTCAGAGTTGAATGCAGACTAATGTCAAGCTGTTGTGGCTCGACGAATATTTCGCGATATCAGCAAATCGCTATCGCCCGCCCAATGGCGTCACACAAGTCTTAATTGATATAATTTCAGCGGTTTTTGGGGTCGTCAAGATTTGCGGCTTTTGTTAGCTAGGAACCAAGGCTTACCCGCATAAATGTCGCAAGTCTGTTGTTATTGTTGCTGTTGTTGTTGTTCTTATTGTTATCTGTTTATTTGGGACACTTGATATCTGTTTACGTTTGCAGTTCACTCACTGGACAATGCGCAACGTGCGCCAAAAAGCGCGCTTCGAAATCTTACCACACGCGTCGTCACAAAAAAAAAAAAGCACCGAACTTTGCTCGCGCTTCAAAAAAAAAATTCCAAAAAAAAGACAAAATGAAGCGTAAGAAAAACGCGAGAAAAAAATGAAATAAATTGCTAGACGAAACTATGCCAATGATTATTGAGCAGTCGCTAAGTGGCTGGCACCGCACACGCGCTGCCAAAATATTACGCCAAAGAGTTTGTTCCGCAGAGATACGCAGATGCACGTACTACTAGCAACACGTTGAACGGCCTGCAGTGGCTCTGGGGCTGGACCGCAGCAGCTGAAAATCGCGCAAAGACTGAAGCTGAAGAATTGAGACGGCAATCGGCCGGCCCCAGACCGAACGTGTACAGCATCCACACAGACGCACGAGGCACGAGCACAGCGACACGAACTGTGGCGCCACTTCGTGCCACTGCTTGTTGCAG